AAGGCTGTAATCTTTATGGAAGCAGACTACCACATCTCTCCCCTGTGGAGTGGCTGGTGGTTGGTAGCTGAGCACTTAACCACTGCACCAGCAGGGCTTCTTTCACATGACCTGTCACAAGAGCCCACCATTCATTTGTCGGTTGTACTGTGGTGGCTTGCATGTTGTGTGATGTGGGAAGCTATGCCACTGGTATTTTATTTCAAATACCAACATGTCACACAGAATGGACAGGTTTCAGCAGTGCTTCCAGACTAAGACAGACTAGGAAGAAGGACATGGCCGGGTCCACTTCTGAAAAAAAAAATAAATTGGCCACTGAAAACCTTATGAATAACAGGGAAACACTGTCTGATACAGTGCCAGAAGATGCCCCTCGGTGGGAAGGCACTCAAAATATGACTGGGGGAGAGCTGCTTCCTCAGAGTAGAGTCAGCTTTAATCATGTGGATGCAGTAAAGCTTTCTGGACCTTCATTTGCTAACGTGGCATGACTCAGTGTGAGAACAAACAGCTGCAAACATCCACTAATGATTGGAGTATGGAATGTACGAAGTGAATGATGCATTGCATTGGGCAGTTCTGCTGCAAAAGACCTCTTTAAACAGCAAAGATGTCACTGTGAAGACTACGGTGTGACTAACCCAAGCCATGGTATTTTCAATAGCTTCATGTGCATGTGAGAACTAGGCAATGAGTAAAGACCACAGAAGAACTGATGCATTTGAATTGTCGTGTTGGCAAAGAATATTGAATGTACCGTGGACTGCTATAAGAATGAACAGATCTGTCTCGGAGGAAGTACAGCTGGAATGCTCCTTAAAAGTCGGAATGGCCAGACTTCATCTCTCATACTTTGGACGTGTTGTCAGAAGAGCCCAGTTCCTTGAAGGGAAAAGCAATATACCAAAAGTGAGTGACCAGCACAATACCACTAAGGAAAAGGAAGACACAGAGAAGTGCACAAGAGGTTCAGACAACAAAGGTAAGTACTTTTATATGCACAACACTGCATTGTCAGTAATAACAGACATTAATCTATATAGGTAGATACATAGGCAGGCAGGCTGAATGATCAGGTGTGTCTAGACCAAAGGGAATATACCCATAACCATATATAAGTTTGGTAGATGATATTTCTACATATGTATTTGCATGTGCTATAAGAATGTCCATATAAGCATTGAGTTTATGCTAATGGTGGTGGAATATCTTGGAAAAAGGTAGCAATAATGGTGGCATAACATGAAAAATGTCATCAATGTCTGAGCTGTAAATGCAGGAGTTGTTATGTTGGCAAATGTCTTCTTGTGTATGTTTTCACCACAATAAAAGTAAAAAAAATAAAATAATGTCCATATAAATAAAACTAACAGGAGGCAAAGTTAGTGTGGTGGTTAATTTTGTGTGTCAACTTGGCTAGGCCTGATTGAGTGGCTAGGCAGCTGTATGTAGTATTCCCCATGATGAGACTGGTAATCAACTCCATGGTGGAATCTACTGGGAGCAGCTGAGTAGCTGCCTTTGGGTATGTCGTCTGCTTCCCATATATAAGAAACAGCTTTGGGAATGGTCTCTAGTTTATGGCACACTTGAGGCCTACATGTAGCCGTGTCATTGTTCAGCAGCCTGCCATGCTCTGCTGACCTTGGGACTGTCAATGGACTTGAATTAATGGCCTGCCAAGTGGTATGGTAACATCGGGACTGTGCCATTTTATTTGTCAACCTTGGGCTTCTTAGCCTCAGCAGCCAGTAGCTGCCTGGATGAAGAGATGCCTCTAGCTTCAGTGGGCCTGGAACAAAAGGTATAGCTGAAACCCAAGGTTGAGGGGCTTTCACCCAGCCCCTAGAGCCTGGCACTTTGAACTCAGACTTCTAGCCTCCTGAACTGTAAGAGAATAAACTCCTGTTTGTTCAAGCATCCCATTTGTGGTATATTCTTATCAGAGTGGCACTAGGTAACCAAAACAGGGTAACTTCTTAGCCACAGCCAACCACCCTGCGGGAGCAAGTTGTTGGGCCTGTGGGCTCAGGACCACGGTCCCAGGGGACATCAAGCTCGTTGGAATAACACACTACACAAAAACATTATTCTACATCCTACTTTGGTGAGTAGCGACTGGGGTCCTAAAAACTTGCAAGGAGCCATCTAGATGCAATAATTGGTCTCATCTGGAGCAAAGAAGAATGAAGAAAATCAAAGACACGTGGAAACAATAAGTCCAAGTGACTGGTGGACCATGGGAACCTAAGCCTACATGACCCTGAGACCGGAAAAACTAGATGGTGCCTAGCTACCACTGTCAGCCACTTAGAAAGGGATCAGTGTAGGAGAGCCTGAATAGAGTGAGAGAACAATGTGGAACAAAATTCTAAATCATTAAAAAAAAAAACAAAAACAGGTTTTTTGGTCTGATAGATCCTGGTAAGACCTCCAAGATTGTGACCCCTAGCCACCCTTCAAGCCTGGAATTGAACTCACTCCCATGGCTTTCAGCCAGACAATAGACAGGCATGTAGAGTGAACATTTACATCAGGTAGATACACTCCTCAGAGGATCAACATCAACTGTGGGAGAACAGAAGGGCAGTGTTTTCACAGGGAGACAGCTCAGAGGGACAGAACGTGTAAGAAAGAAGCACCCAGGGAAGAGGTAACTACTGGGAGGAAGTGGGAAGAGAGCTGTTACATTGTGGGGAATTGCAGTCAATGCATGAAACAAAATGTGTATGAAGTGCTGCATTGAAAATGAATTTGCTCTGTAAACTTTCACCCAAATCATAATAAAAAGGAAGAAAAAAAAAAAGGCATGAACATGAACAACAAAGTATACGACAAAACGACAAAACGGTGATGCCTGGGAAACAAAGCCTCTCTGAGCAGGCGATGCCCCGAAACAAGCATTCTCGGTTGGCTCAGAAACGCATCCTCCGTGCTGGAGCGACCGGGGCGTGGCCCAACCGGCGCTTTCCTGCTCAGCGAGAGACAATCGCGTAGCCGCCGTGGGGCAGACCGCCAGGCGCAGGTACGCAAGTGAGCAAGTTGATGTTTGTGCGCATGCGACCTCTAACGAGCGTGCGCGCACGGAGTCCGGAAGTGAGTGGTGGGGAGCGGAGGAGAAGGGGTGGAGTTGAACCCGGATTTCGCGCGTGCGCGCCCTTCACAAACCGTTTAGCGCGTTTTTCCTGGCGACTCTGTTCTGGCCCCTGAGAGGCTCAGAGGTAACTTTTCGGGAGCAGAACATTCTCGTCAGGAAAGCGACTTCTCGAGATTTCTGCTCCCTCCCTTCATTTTCTTTGAAGTGTTTCCCTGTGAGTGACAGTCCCGGGCCTTCTGACTGCCTGAGGTCTTGGGCTAGCTCGTCACCTCCCGTCTCGGTCCCGCGGAAGGTGAAAGGGGGCCTCTTGGGTCACCATGGCAGTGTCCACCCAGCAGCTGGCGGAGGAGTTGGAGATCTTCGGCCTAAAGTGCGAGCAGGCTGTGATCGCAAAATGTGAGTCCCTCAGCCTGTCCCCCGACCCGGACTGTGCTCCACGCTGTCGCTCCGGGTAGCCTAGAATAGAAATGGGGGACGCTTCCGAGTTTCGGAGTTCTGGGTGGTTGTGAAAGGAAGAATCAAACCGAGTCTAAGAGTTGGAATGTGGGGACTTTGCAATGCTGACAGGAACTGCTTAAATACAGTTCACAAAATAGGAATATGAAGGGTGATTTCACCTCCTCGCCGTCTCAGAAGGATGGGATTGGGCTGCGTTAGGACCGGGCTGGGGGGACCCTGATGACGCGGTGCTTGAAGCGCGCGGCCGCGAAAGGAAAGGTCGGCGGGAGAAAGATGTGGCAGTCTGCTTCCGTAAAGAATTGCAATAGGGAGAGTGGAAACTGCAACGGCAACTGGTTTGGTTTGGTTTGGGGAGGATCTGGGTGGCGTCTCTGAGAAGCCCTGACAACAGAGAGAAATGAGGGGTGCAGATGGCAGTCGCTTAGTCCTGGCCTCCCTGCAAATGTGAGTCTCCCGTGCGGGGTTCCTGGAAGTGAATTTTAGCTTTGGAAAGAACTTGTAGGGAGCCTGTCAGCTTCTTCTGTTTCCAGAGGGAGAAAAAGGTCCCAAGTTCGTGTCTGAGCTGACCCCTGGACCCAGGTGCCGCCTTGCAGCCCGCGCTCCTTGCAGCACTCGCGGCAGGATGGATGCGATCTATTTAGGGCCTACAAACAAGTCTCAGGAGATGTGGACGTTCCCAGCTTTAGAATCGAGATGAGCATCTCTTGGCCTGAACCGGTCATGAACACTTGGAGCTTTTGATATTTGCAAGGCCGAAAGACACACGTTATTGTTCGATGGAAAATTCCTTTCCCGGAAACGAGAGTACTCTTGTTCTTATGTCCACTGCATTCTCTTCCTAAGCAAACAAACAAAAAAAATGAAACTCACTGCCGTGGATCCCGACTCATAGTGACCCTTCCTTGGGTTTCCGAAGCAGTATCACTACGGAAGTAGATTGTCCAACCTTCCTTCTGAGGAGTGACTGGTGGGTTTGAACCGCCAGCCTTCTGGTTAGCAGTCAAGTGCCTTACGCACTACACCACCAGAGCTACCGAAATGTCCCAAGTGGCTGGTTTTAAGGAATAGAAATGTGTTTTTTCTGTAAACCACTAACTAGAGAGTAGACACACATTAATTTGGGTGAAAGGAAAAGACTGTACAGTAGGGAGGGCAGCACAAAATGATCAAGGAAAGGAAGGTGCTGGGAGGAGTACAAGAGTTAAAGGCAGCAGAGGTCAATACTTACTCATACACAACCCTGCGATAACAGTAATAGTCATCTACGAGTGCAAACACAGATAAGACATGCAAGGGAAGGAGAGTGGGACTATACCCATGAATATAAGAAGGTTTCACAGAAAAAAATACGTACCTTTTTTTCTCACAGTCATGGAGGCTAAAAGTCCAAATTAGGGTCTTGGCCACAAGTCCATCTGTGCGCCTCTCTCTTTGCTTCTGGTGCCTGCTGGCCATCCTTGGTGTTTGTTGGCATCTGTCTTTCTCCGTTGGTCTTTGTGTCTAGTCTGGTCTTTTTTGTAACTCAGAAGTGATTAGGTTTAGGATCCAGCCTACAGTGATGACATCATTAACGTAATAGAAGAAAAATCTGTTTCCATACAGGATGATATCCACAGGTACAAGGGCCAGGAATTCAACACGTATACACAATTCAATCTATAATACTCACTCTCACTCTCAGCTGATGAGCTTATTATCACCTGTTTCACTGAGAAAATAGAAGCAATTAGAAAACTTCCATCAATGACCACCAGTACTTCTTCTTACCTACCTGCTTCTATTACAATGAGTAAACTCTCCATATTCCTAGCAAAAGCCAAACCCTCCACTTGAGTCCTAAAACCCATGCCTTCTCACCTACTTAAGAATGTCCAGTAATTCTGCTCTTACCTATTTTGTCTGTGTTTCTTTCAGATTTTTTCCTGTTGGCATGGAACCGTGGTTCTTAACTCCTGCCTTTGAACTCCTCTGTTCACTCCACTTACTACTCCAGCTGCTACCCCTGTTCTCTCCTTCCCAATTACAGCAGACCACCTCAGAGGAGTTGTCTGAGTTCAGGTCTGAGTTGTTTGCTGCCTTTGGGTCTTTCTCTCCTCCCACTCTCTTCTAGCCGTTCAGTAGGCTTCCTCACCTGCACCGCTTCCCTGATGAGTTCTCATCCCTCCTCTTGAATTATCAGCTACATTTGACACTGTTCATCAGTTCCTCTTCTTGAAGTCACTTTTTTCTCTTAGCTTCTCGGACACTACCATTTGCCATCAAGTCAGTTCCCACTCATAGCAGCCCCTGTGTCAGAGCTGAACTGTGTTCTGTAGGGTTTTCAACTGCTGATTTTCAGTAGATGCTCGGCTTTTCCTCTAACGTGCCTCCAGGTGGACTCGAATCTCCACCCTTTTGTTGAGGAGCCAAGTATATTAACCATTTGCACTACCCAGGAATCTTGCTCTTAGTTGTTCTCCTTCCTTGCTGGTTACCACTTCACAGGCTGTGCAGATTCGTCCTCCTCTTAACACTGGAGCCCGCTGTGACTCAGGCCTTGGGCCACTTACTGTTAACTAGATACACTCACTCCCAGGTGATGTCACCGGGTCTCGTAGCTTTGCATTGCATGCATTTGCTGATGATTGTCAAACTCACGTCTCAGCCCAGACCTCTTGCCTGCACTGCAGGCTGGTCCATCCAGCTGCTTACTTGATGTCTGTCTCCAGTAGGAGGTCTAATTGGCATCTTAGGCTCCACGTATCTCAAACCAATTCCTAGTGTCTTCTCCCACTCCTCACAGCAGTGTTTCTGCTGTCTTCCCATCTCAGTTAATGGCAGTTCCACCCTTTCCGTTGCTCAGGATAGAATCATCGGAGTCATCCTTGGCGTCTTTCCTTCTCTCCTGACACTAGCAAATCCCTCTGGCTTTACCTTCATGTGTATCCTATTCAGAGTCCGACCCGCTCAGCATATCCACTGGCACCACCCTGCCTCGGGCCCCCATCATCTCTCACCTAGGTTTTGCCATAGTTCTCCTGATGGTCTCCTTGGTTCTACCCTCGCCCCCTTCAGTCTGTGCTTAGTCCAGCATCCAGAGCACTTCTGTTCACCACAGTCAGCTCATGTCCCTCTTCTGTCCAAAGCCCTCTAATGATTTTCCAACTAGCTCAGTACCACAAGTGGGTAGCTTAACAAACAGACATGTATTTTCTCCCGGTTTAGGAGGCTAGAAGTCTGAAGGCTAGGGGAAGGCGTTCTCTCTCTGTCACTCTGATGGAAAGTCCTTGTCTCTTTAGCTTCTACTCCCTGGCTTCTTGGTGATCGTCATGGGGTATGGCATCTAGTTTCCCCCATCTCTGCTTACTTGCTTGCTTAATCTCTTTTATATCTCAAAAAAGATTGATTTAAACACACCCTTAACATAACAAAGCCCATTCCCAAATGGGATAACAAAAACCCATATTAAAGTTTACAACACATAATGTTGGGGACAGCACTCAGTCCATAACACAGGGTAATTACAATGGCCAACCAGGCCCTGTGTCGTCTGCCCCCTCTTGACCCTTTTGGCCTCATCTTCAGTCACACAGTGGCCTTGCTGATCCTGCTTCCACTCAGGATCTGTGCACACCACTCCTCCAGCCTGAAAGTTCTCGCCCTAAACACTGCCTGGCTTACTCCTTCACCGCCTTCAGTCTTTACTCAGAGTCTGCTTCTCAATGAGGCCTTTCCTAATCAGTGCGTTTTAGATTACCAGCCCCTCTCCCTGCTTTATTTTTCTACATCACACATTTATTTAACCATCTCACATAACTGTATGGAGCCCTAATGATACACTGAAGCGCTTGGCTGCTAACCATAGCAGTTTGAACCCACCAGCTGCTCTGCAGGAGAAAGATGTGGCAGCCTGCCTCCATACAGATTTACAGCCCGGAAACCCTGTGAGGCGGTTCTGCTCTGTCCTGTAGGGTTGCCGTGCGTCAAAGTTGACTCCGTGGCAATGGGAAGCATGCTGCGTACTCATTTGTTTTTGTGTCTACTGCCTCCCCCCAGTATGACGCTTCATGAGAACAAGGATTTTCAGTGCCTAGAACAGTACCTGGCATTACTAGGTGCTGATCAATATCAATGGAATAAATACAGGGTTATTTTTTTCACATTTCAAAGTGAAGGCAGCAAGCAATGGACTTGGTTCTTTGTCCACTTTTCCTTCCTCCAGTGGCAGAACTGTGCATTCTGTACGGACACAATGAGGAGGAAATGGCAGCCGAGCTGGTCGCCTTCGTCAGCACACACGGAGTTAACCTTACCTTAGAGACCCTGAACTCTCTTGAGCATGAGGTAAGAGCAAAATGTAAGCCAACTGGTGACCTAAGTCTCCATTTCTGCTCTGTAGGGGAGGCATCAGGATCTACCAGAAGAGTGTGGACTTTGAAATCAAACACACCTGTACCCCAGCCCTGATGGGAACTTGGGCACGCTATTTATTATCTCTGAGCCCCAGTTTCCTCCCTGGAGCACAGTTCTACTCTGACATACAGGGGGTGGTCATGAGCCAGAATGGACTCAATGCTTGGTTTTTGGATTATTACCTCGAGGCCGTGGAAAATGCCTCCTCTGTTACTTTACTGTAAACTCATGTGCCATCAAGTCCAATCCGACTCATAGTGAACCCTCCTTGGATTTCGGAGGCCGTATCACTATGGAAGTAGATTGCCCAACTTTCCTTCCAAGGAGTGGCTGGTTGGTTTGAAGCACCACCCTTCTGGTTAGCAGTCGAGTGCCTTAGGTACTACGCTACCAGAGCTCCTTGACTTTACTATGGGAAGATATATTCATTGTCTTTTATTCCTCAGTTTCTGAGCAAAAGAGCATCCAAAGCCCAGCACGGTGCCTCCAGGGACAGTGGACATGCAGGAGCCAGAGACATTGTTTCCATTCAAGAGTTGTATCCTTGTCTACTGAAGCTGTCTGTGTGGGGCCATGTTTTATAATTGCTCTACTGTTGTATGTGTAGTTTAGAAGGAAATTATAAAAACTACGTACTATTCAGATTTCTTATTGAATCAGACTTTGCCTTAGATTTTGAGTGGATGTTTAATTTTTTTCATCACTATAATTGATTTGCATTGTTGTCATTGAGAATACACACAGCAAAACCTATACTGAGTCACCAATTTCTACATGCATAACTAAGTGACGTGGGTTACATTCTTCGAGTTGTACAACCACTCTGACCCTCCTCTTCTAAGTTGTTTCTTCCCATTAACATAAACTCACTGCCTGCTGAGGTTCCTGTCTAATCTTTTGAGCTGTTCTCAGTTTGATCCCACAAAGATCTTAAAAGAACCTTTTTTACTTGTAAAGCTAGACTATGGACCAGGCAGTGTTTCATTCACAGCGATGCTATGAGTTGGAGCTGTCTTGACAGCACCTAGCAACAACAAGGTAAACTATTACTCGGTTTTAAGAAGACTTCAGAGGATATTTTTGATTTAAAGTTTAAAGATTATCACAGGGCAATGGTATTCGGGATTCAGCCAACCTTAGTGGCTCCCAAAAGTCTGGATTCCATGAGAATCTGAAATTCTATTCTGCATTTCCCTCCTTTTGACTAGCATTCTTTTATAGAATCTTTGACCAAAATGTTCAGCAATGGTGGCAGAGCACCACCCAGTTCTTCTTCTCTCATAGCAAAGGCAGCAGTTGTTCATGGAGGCAGTTAGCCACGCATCCCACTTCCTTGTGTGTGTGTGTGTGTGTGAGTGTGTGAGATTCTTTCTGTGTTGCTCCATGTGAATAGAGAGCCATTGTTATGCTTTGGATGGCCCCTTGAAATCTTTTAAGACTCCAGGCACTACACAGTTAAGTAGTAAAAACATGGTATTAGGCCAGTTAACTGGGGTGTCCCTGGAAACTATGACCTTAAACCTTGGGTGGAAGTTTATTACGGTTTTCCTTAAGCAGAGTTTTTAGAATTGAAGTGGAAGAAGAAGAGGAGAGCCTCTTGAACTCTTACACGACCCCCTCTAAGGTGAGTACACAGTGTTTGGAGATTGCATTTTACAAGTCAGGTAATTTCTCCTTTATTCTAAAAGCAGGATCAATCACATTTGAAGTTCTGAGGGAGAACATGAACCAACCTCACACAGTTTCTACTCTAGTACCATTTTGGCTTTTTCCTTTCCGATCCTGTGCACAGATGTTTTTACCTAATGACTGTCCTTTTGAATGGATTGCTGCCATTTTTCAGCTACTATATAATAAACACATCTGTGAATACGGTTTCCGCATAACTGCCCTTTCTAATGGCTGCATAGTGTTGTATGAGGGGAATTAGAATAATCCAGTACTATAGTGTTGGATCTCAGTGGGAAAGAGAGAGTCGAAAAAACTGACTCACAGTGACCCCACAGAGCAGAGTAGGCAGAGCTGCCCCATAGGGTTTCCAAGGCTGTAAGTCTTTACAGAAGCAGAGGACCACATCTTTCTCCCGTAGAGCAGTTGGTGGGTTTGAACTTAACCTGGTCGACTTAACTTAATCGTGGGCTGAGCACTTAACCACTGGACCACTAGAGCTCCATGGAGAGGTAGGATAGAGTTGTGGAAAAGCATTGCCTTCAGAGTTGGAGTCAGTCCTACGTGACTTCAGGTGAGTGAGTGTCTCTCTTAGCTGTAATTGCCTCACCTGTAAATCAAGATTCCTTCATTCATTTATGGAGCACCACGTCCCACCTGGGTGGTGCAAATGGTTAAGCACTTGGCTACATACCAAAAGGTTAGTGGTTTGAATCCACCCAGAGACCTGATGATCTGCTTCCAAAAGATGCCAGCCAGTGAAAACCCTCTTGAGCTCAGTTCTCTGAAACACACAGGGCCACTACGAGCTGGAATTGACTCAACAGCAACTGGTTGATGTTCGTGTTGTTTTTTAGTGTGTGCCAGGCACTGTACTGAATAAAAGCAAAGTTGCCATGCAGTCGATTGCAACTCACAGTGACCTGCATCACACAGTGAAGCTGCACCATAGAGCTTTCTTGGCCGCATTCTTTACAGAAGCAGATTGCCAGGCCTTTATTTTGTGGCATGGGTTCAGACAGCCACCCTTTAGGTTAGCAGCCAAGTGCAAACCCTTTGCCCCACCCAGGGGCCTTCTGCTCTGCAGTAGACACGGGGTAGACCGCAGTGCGTGAAACCGGCATGGAGGGGCTCCAGCCTTAAGAAGCTCACGGCCAGGGAATAGCACCTCCTGTCTTGGAGGACTTGCAGATAAATGAGTACGTAAAGTGCCAGGGCCAAAGGAAGTATACAGTAACAGGAGTTACTCTTTCTCTAAACTGCAGTTAGTGGCGGTTCATAATCCTGGAGTGCGCCTTAATTTTTCAGAGTAATTTATGTCATTAGAAGGTAGGTAGTTGAGGTCTGCCTGTGGAGAGTGGGAAAGCACAAAAGGTCTTGTGAAGTTGCCAAGACAAATCCAGGTGCATATAATTAGAGGAGACGGTGAGGTTTTCCTCAGGCTATGTTGAGACTGGAGACGTCTCAGCTCTCGATGGTCTGTCTCAGAGTCTGTTTCTCAGTAAAGGGCACCCCCATTCTTACATTTGCCCAGGCCAAGAACTTTAGAGACCTCCTTGGCTCTTCTTTTCTTTCCCATCCTCCATCCAGCCTACGGGCTGCCATCCCATCAGCCCTCCTTCCAGGGTCTGGCCACCTCTCACCACCTCCCTGCCATCACCGGGTCCACTGCACCACCGCCTCCCTGAGTGATTGTGATGGCCCTGCTGGTCCCCTGGCTTCTTTCTTATGGTTATATCTTCGTGTTCAATTGATCCTTTAATCATTATATAATGTCCTTCTTTGTCTCGGATGGTGGTTTTTGTCTTAAAGTCAATTTGATCAGAAATTAGTATTGCCACTCCTGCTGTCTTACAGTTGCCATTTGCTTGATATATCTTTTTCCAACCTTTGATTTTTAGTCTGTTTTTGTCATTATCTCTAAGGTGTGTCTCTTGTAGGCAGCATATGGATGGGTTGTGTTTTCTTATCCAATCTGCAACTCTCCCGTCTCTTGAGTGGTACATTTAATCCATTAACATTCAGGGTGATTATTGATAAGTTTGAATTTGTTGCTGTCATTTTGTTATGTATTTTTTCCTGGTGTCCCTGGTTTCTTTGTTCCATATTATTTTCTGTGCTGAGCTCGTTTTGTTTATGAATTGTGTTATCATTCCCGTTGTTGCTGTTGTTTTAGAATATGCTGAGTATTTGTGCTTGTCCTCTTTTCTATTGTGATGTGAAGGTTTATAATTTTTCTTTGTGGTTACCCTATGATTTATAAATTTATCCCCAAGTTTAGAACAGTCCATTCTATCTTTCAACTTTCTTAACTTCCTCACCATTTAGAAATTCTGTGACTGCACAGTCTTTTCCCTCTTTTTGTTTGTAGTTGTCCTCACTTGCCAATTGCTATCTCTGGTTCCCTGTCTACAACCTTGTAATCTCATTTTACTTTGGATATGTCCATAGCTGTGGTTTCTGGGTTATGTTATCTTGTGTATTAATGGTCTATTGTTATTTGCTATTTTTAGTTCTCTGATCAAAGGACTCCCTTTAGGATGTCTTGTAAGGTTGGTCTGGTTTTAACAAATTCCCTTAGTTTCTGCTTATCTGGAAATCTCCTAATTTCACCATCATATTTAAGGGACAGTTTTCCCTGGCTTCTTTCTGCCTCGTCCTCCTCCAGCCAGTTCCCCACACAGCTGCCAGGTGGTCCTTTCACACGAACATCAGGTCATGTTTCCCCTGCCCACAGGTGTCCACGGTTTCTCATCTCCCCTGGTGACAGTTGAAGACTGAGCCAGAGGAGTGAGGTTCTGAATGAGCTGGCCCCCTGCTCCCTCTGTCCCCCACTTACTCTGCTTCTGCCACACTGCGCTTTGTGGTCCTTCAGACATGTCAACAGTGGTTCCCGCTGCCAGAGCACTCTTCCTACAGGGCTTATTCCCTCACTTCCTCATTCCCTCCTGTATCCTCCTGCAGAGGGAACAAGCCTGCCTAAAATGGCAAACACTCTTCCCCTTCTTCATTTTCCTCATTTTTCTTCATAGGACTTATTACCATCACACATGTTACATTTTTACTTCTGTTTTTTGTCTGTCTCCACTCCATTGGAATGGAGTCCCTTTGAGGAAGGAGACATTGTTTTATCTGTTGCTGTTTTCCCAGTGCCTGGCACAAAGAGGCATTTGCTAATAGTTGGGGGGAAAAAACAAGTAAGGGAAGTTGGTTTTCTAGGTAGGTTTTCATGGGACTGCAGTACCTGGTGGGGCCGTTTTGATTTGGTTGACGGCATTGCAGGCCCAGAATTTATGTGACTTCTCTGTGTATCCAGAATTGACCATAGGCTTAGAAACTGACTTGTGCTAACCCAGCTCTCAGTCCACTAATACTAAGCTGGATGCAAATGTATTTAACTTACTGACAGAGGGACCTCCATATTTGGACATCCATTCTTGCCACAAAAGTACTTAGGAGGCTGTACTACGAATCAAAGTTTCTCACCTGGAACTGGAGCTGAGTGAGTTGGAATGAAATATGGAGCAAACAAATCGGAGTATGTGTGTGAAGCTTGGAGGAGACTCAGTATGTATGTGGGCTGGAAGTAAGAATGGTACCCATCACGTGGACATGCTTGCTCATTGTTAGGCCGTGCATCGTTGGCAGCGTGAAAAAAGTCCTGCTGCCCAGTGCAGCCTTTCCTATACAGACGGTACCAGGTAAGGTTGCCTGCCCTGGTCAGGTCCTGGAGCGGACGCACCTCGGCTGCAAAGGTCACTCTGTCGGTGGCTTTAGCTTATCGCCATATCAATATTTGACTTACACAGTTGACAGCCATTCTGCATCCGTGCTCACCACAAGTCTTCTGTTCAAATTTGTGAGTCCAGGGATTTGAAGTCTCTGTGCTCACAGCATTTCTGTTTCTGGAAATGAGTAAACTGGCTCTTTGGTTATAAGTTGGTTGCCTGTGTGGTATGGCAAATCTTACCAGGATACCAGAGCATGGTAGCAGTGACTGTATTTCTCATTAAAAATGGGCCAACTGGCACTTAGTGTTAATGAATCTGGTGAGCTCAGTTGGAGTGAGTGCATCCCTGAGAGCTGTAAGCAGAGTCAGTGTGTTAACACAACCAGGTTTCACCATAAGGCTGAGGACTAGACCCACTAGGCTGGTTTGTTTACCAAAGTGCCACTGTCTTGCTGTGTCCTGGGAGACGGACTGTCTGTCTCCTGAAATATCCCCGCACCACTGCCTTGGCCTTCAAGGATCATAGCCCACTGTGGACTGGAAGAGTCTTCTGGGACAGTAGTTTGAGAAGCCGCAAAATCTTTTCTGTCCTTTCACCCTGTAATTCCCCCTTGTGAAACTCTTCCTAAGGAAACAATCTAAAATGTGGGAACAGCTGTATGCAGATGTGTGTGGCAGCAGTATTTATAATCACCCAAAATTACAAGGAGTCCAAACGTCCAGAAGAAAAGTATGATTCCAATAACCAGCTACCAAAAAAGATGAAGTTGCAGCAACATGAGGAAATGCACATGGTGCGTATGGAGTGAAACATCTGTACGCAGACGTTTTAAACTAAGGTTATAACTTACGATTTGTATATTTTAAAATAGGAAAAAAATGTGGGAAAACGATCATCAGAATGGCTGTTGTATCGGGGCAGTAGCCTGAGGGCTGTTTTTAACTTTGGTTTCCGTTCTTGCTGCACAGCGAATCTTGGAGATTGTCCCTTACATTTCATTCTTCACTTGCCGCCAATAGACAACTTGGTGGTACAGCTTAACTCGGCAGCCAGGAGGAGCCCGAGGGCAGGAGAAGTTAGCAGAGGAGCTGGCTAGGGCTCCGTCTTTTCTGTCTCCCAGGCTGTTCTCCTTGGAGTGGAGACAGACTGAAAACAGAGAAGTAAGAACAGGCAGGTCTGGTGGTGATAAGTCCTATGAAGAAAATACAGGAAGGGAAGAGGGTGTTTGCTGTTTTTATGTGTATATGTGTGTGTGTGTGTGTGTGTGTTTGCAGTGTTCCTCCATTCCCTTCTGTTTGCTGTTTTAGGCAGGGTTGTTCCCTCTGACAGGGGGACACAGGAGGGAATGAAGGAAGTGAGGGAATAAGCCCTGCAGGAATGTGCAGGCAGAGTGCGCCAGCAGCGGGAACAGCGAGCGCAAAGGTCCTGTGGTAGAACACTGTTGACGTTTGAAGGGCTGCGAGGAGAGCAGTGTCGCAGAAGCAGAGCAAGTGAGGGCAGGGAGGATGGGAGCAGGAACCACGGGTTTTATTGTACGCATACCTTTGGATTCTTGTTGATGAACAAAATAAACACACACCAGAAGTGACCATCAGTGAGGTGTTTGCTAAATGCTCTGCAAGCATGCCCTCCCCACATCATCTGCCTAGAGTCCTTCCCTTCTTTAATTTCAAAATCGTGGTAAACTTTGCCAAAATAAGTAGTAACATGGTCTCAACCCTTCTCAGAAAGTGTACAGGCAGGTCAAAACAGTACGGGTCACGAAATCCCAACCTGTTCTACAGCAAAGAAGTGGGGCCAAAGCAAGCATGTGGGAGACTTGACAGGGCAGCCTGCCTGCCGTGCATCCTGCTGGGAAATGTCGTTTGTACTTTCCACAGGTGCCTTCAGCCTGGGGGCTGTGTTCTGATGGAAGGTTGGAAGGTTTCTAGGTGGGATCGTGCTGGGGAGACAGGGCCTGCAGAAGATAACCAGCCCAGCCTGTCTCATGCCTTGGTTAGGCCTCACTCTCCCTTCCCTTCTGAGGAACTGTAAACATCAGGAACAGCCTGGGTTTTGAGTGACTGGGATTTGTTTCATTTTGTTCCTAGGGTTCTCAGAAGCGAGCTATCACCACCCCAGAAACCCCTCTTAGAAAAAGAAGTCTGTCCGCTCGCAGCCCCCATCTGCTCCTCTCACCATCGAGTTTCTCTCCAAGGTAAGCTTCATGTTTCACTCGCCTCCCTCCCGGCTCCCTGGTCTCCTGACGGAGGCTGAGGCTACAGGGTCCTTGACTAAACGTGTGTGTATGAGTCCACTGTGGTGAGGCCTGCTCTCCTGCTTTTCTCTTCTTTGTGGAAAATTACTGTTTCGTACAGTAATAAGGAAACTCGCTTTTCTAGGGCTTGTTTCCTAGCTCAGGAACCGATAGCTTCTGTCGCAAACAGCCTGTCCATTCAGCAGCCAGGAGTCTCAGGAGTCTTGCCAGAGAGGCCGATAGGTTTTTTACCTGTGTCTGTTAGTTTGGGTGTTGCTAGGTTTCTTCCTTTTTTTTTTTTTTTAAATCAAGAGTATTTATTTTTTTTGCTAAGGGAAGCACACATCTTTGTTTATAATGTCGTGTAACGTGTTGTGCGTTGCTCAGGTCACAGCCAGTTCCTGAGCGTTTTCCTCTCACTGAATCCACACTGATTATTAGGGGTCTGGTCCCTGCTCCCCTCGACACAGAAACCCACAAAGGTCATATGTGAAGTCTTAAGATCTGTAAATGACAAGTCTTATACTAGAGAATTCCATCGGTAAGTCCTCTGCCCAGTGAAAGGGTTCCCAGTACTGTCTTGTCAGGGTGAGGCTCAGGATGGTAGTATTAACCAGTTAGGGACACACCAGCTCCCAGGGCCACTGCCTCTACCTTGGGTCACTTCTGGGCTAACCAGAGCTTAAGGTTTCCCACCTCTGCCCCTCAGAGAGGAAGACATAGAAGCCCTATAGTCACTCAGGTGGGTAGCCATTGGATTTTTTTTTTTTTTTTTCATTCAACAAACACTGATTGAATACCTAATAGCACCCGGGACTGTCCAGCTATTTTGAGTTTTCCAAAGGCAAAAGTAATTTTTTTTTTTTTTTAAATTAGGATTTGGGTCAAAAGTAATTTTTAAGAACAAAATGTTTACGTATGACAATTCTATTCTTAGTACATAGGTTACCAAAGGAAAACAAACCTTTACTGGTAATGGGCAATTCCATTGCTGTTCAGGATCAATGAGGTTAGAATATTCCAATGAACCGTTTTTCAGGTACAGTAGCAGGTTCTGAAGGGGAGGCCAGATAAGAACCTCTCCAGAGAACCATCACCCACAGATGAGCTGTTGTTGTTGTTGTGTGCCGTTGAGTCAGACCCGACTCATAGCGACCCCTCCTTGCGTTTCTGAGGCAGTATCACTACGGAGGTAGATTGCCCAGTCTTCCTTCCAAGGAGTGGCTGGTGGGTTTGAACCGCCAGCCTTCTGGTTAGCAGTCAAGTGCCTTAGGCTCTACACTATCAGAGCTCCTTACAGATGAGCTAGTTACTGACAAAACATTGTATGCCAGAAGTACATTATAAAACAGGTCTGACACCTGATTATGTGAATAGAACTGTTTACAGAATTGAGATGTATTAAAAAGAAAAAACAAAACCAGACTTTGTTGCCCAGCAGCTATTTGGTATCCAAACATGTATTTTCTACATAATTACTGTGAAATGAGGTTTTCAGTGTCAGATAAAACACTGATTTTTCTTCACTTGGTTCTAATTGTGTTACTAGCTTCTATCTGTGTCTTCATGGCCGATTTCTTCATTTTTCTTCCCAAAATGTTGTGTGCCACACTTCAACAATGAAGAACTCTTCAGTACCATGGTGCAGGCCCTGACCATTAATGCATAGCTGCCCGTAGGGTCTATCTTTGGTTCCACTTGTAACACACAGTTGTGATACTAGGGGGTTTTTCATAGCCATCCTTTGACAAAGTTGTGGCCTTCATACATCCTCAAAACTCGTACTTTGTTTCATCTTGAAGAGCCTGGCTACAGGGCCC